GTTGCGACATGATTTTATGGGGTTTTGTTATATCTTCCTACTTATGTAACCCTAGTTAGAAATCTACTTATGATGCTACTTGTCATTAGAGAATATGGATTAATTAGGAAAAACGATGTCAGTGCAGTATTTTTTAATAGTGTCAACAATTACTAGTGGTGTGAACAAGAAGTGCCATGTCACTAGTAAATTATATACTAAGGCCGAGTATAGAAGGCGACGCTATTAATTGAGAACGTATGTGGCGTTTGGTCGCCACGCCACCGATTAGTTAGTTACTAGTGATGTTCAGTCCCAACACTACTAATGTTTATCTACTAGTAGTGTCGGCAACCCCCACCGCTAGTGACACCTCATTAGTGGCGTCATATCGGTGGTGTGGGACATAGGCGCCACTAACGATGTTTTATGAACGCCACTAGTAGGCTTTTCTGTACTAGTGTTGCCTTCGCTCTATGCCTCCTCTACGAAAAAACTCATCTACATGATCAAGAAGGCACTGGTTACGATGGCATCGAAGGACGTGTTCGCCGCGACCTCCAGCGAGAAGGTATATATCCATAACAACCCTTCACCAAGAAAGATCATACATCTTCCTGATTGGGGGGACATGCCCCTGGAAGATGGGAGCCACCCAGGCGCATGAGAATCAAGGACGGTGACTCGAAGAAAAAAAGGAAGTAAGAAAAGTAAGACAAAGGGAAACTATCCTCAAAATCCTTACACGTATAATCTGCAAGGAGCTTTTCTAAAATGTCATCTAGGGCCTTCGCCTCTCAAAAGTGAGAAGAAAGTGCCGATTCCAGATGAGATTGAGGAAAAGATCAACGAACTAGAAACAATTTTATAAGGCTTGTGTTCATCCTATTGGAGAAGGTAACCATGCCTACTAGATGATGAGTAATAACATCCAATAGAGAGTCCATATACTTTATGGTATAATTTATTTCCTTATTAAAGTTTTTCTTGAGCTATGAGGAAACACAACATTTCTCATAAAAGTTGTCTCCCAACAACAAGGGGAGATTATGGAGATGTTTGCGTGATTCTCGATTGGGCATGGCCATTGCATGAAACTAGAAGAATGGCCAAAAGCCTGCAGATAAGAAGAAGGAAGATCACCATCTAAGCCTAAGGAAACTTAGGCCTCCTTTCATAGGTATTTTGTAGGAATTCTAAAGGATAGGAACTTGAATTTTGTAGGAATTCTAAAGGATAGGAAGTTTGTAGGAAAAAAAATATTTTGGGGCCTTTTGGTTTGCAGGAATGGATTCCTATTCCTATGTAGGATAGGAATCAATTTTGCATCTCAAAAGGAAAAAAAGAATGGATTCCTATTCCTATGTAGGATAGGAATCAATCCTCCACATTTTAAAGGGGAAAAAATAGCCTAGACTCAATGAAAAAATGCATGTCCTATGCATCAAATGACATATCTTTCCCTATAGGAAATGAGATGCATGTCATCTCACTTCCTAAGATTTTCCTATTCTATACTATTCCTATCCTATCAACCAAAGAAGGCCTTAGGTATTAGGATCCCATTGGCTTTATTGTAAGCTTGGGGGAGATCATGAGAAACCTTGTATCCCTAATGTTTTTTTTGCATGTTTACTTTCTGCAAATCAAGTTAGTTTACTTTTAGTGTTAGTTTATTTTCAATTTTACATAATAAATTGCAATGTTAGCTATCTATGAGTAAGAGAGGAATTACTTATCTGATGTTTAGTTTGTCTTAATGATGAATGATCATACTGGGACATTTTGGTATTTTTATTAGTTGTATAAATTAGGTTGAGTTTTACCATACTTGTAACTTTCTGGTGACTATATGTTTTTCCACACCACTAGTGTTGATTTGCAAAATGTAGGTCTTCAACCCTAGATGTTAGATATTTTTTGTTCAGTTAGCTTATAGAAAGAGAAAGAAAAGAAAAAATAAAACAACAAAAGGTTGGAAATAAATTTTGCAAAAAATATATATTTTTGGAAAAGAACGAGTAGCAAGTAGAGGTGGAACTCTCAAACCATAAAAGTACGTGTTGTTTCATACTCTGTTTTGAAGTTAGCGCTCATCGTGATCAGTAGTTTTATTTTCCCTTATAAGCGAGAATAATTAACCGTCATACAATATGACCGATTGTGATGGAATTTCAAGTACAAGTATGATCTAGTGGGAGATGGAGATGGTGGCTATTGCCCGGAGATGACTGCTATGGCGGTGCAGAACGGATTTTTCTACTTCATACCTACACAATTAGGATTTGATGAAATAGCTGGGTTTTTTTTATTTGATTCAGATATTGTCCATCTTTATCTTTGGTTTTCTCCTCAATCTATCTCCATTGGATGGACTTATTGAAGAATCATACTCCCTCCATCCCAAAATAAGCGTCTTAATTTTATACTAACTTTACTAAAAAGTTATACTAAGCTTGAGACACTTATTTTGGGACGGAGGGAGTATCTAATCTCCCCATTGTGGTCAGGATCCCATGAACCAGGAGCCCCAAAACCGATTCCTCGTTCGTCCTACTGGAGGCATGGTCATGGGCTCATGGCTTTCATTCATTCATTTCATTCTTTGTTCTATTGTGGAATCGAACCACTAGCATTCAATGGATTTCTAGTCCTTTTGTCCAAAGGATTTAAAGTCCTTTTACCAACCAGTCAGAACTAATATTTCTCTATTATATTATGTTTTTCCTTTATCAGCTTAGTCAGCTAGTTGGATTTCGGGTCCAATGCGCTAACACTTTCTTTAGTGTTGTTGCTCTTTCTCCGGGCTTTGACCATGTATCACGCAGGGCGATGGAGTTGATGAAGAGTCAAAGAGGTCAACTGGAGTTCTTCCTCTTCTTTATATAGCGCAGACATCTGTAATAGGTTTCAGGGGCACATCGTGTGCTTAATTTGACTTCTTGGAGTCGATTTCGGGTGGTATGATTGTTTGTATGAGCATGCCTGCTCGTATCACATTTTTGCTCTATCTTTTAGAGACGCCTCTGTCGAACTTCTTTATATGGATTTGTTCCTCTCTTCAAGTACTTTCCAAATGTGGCCTTGTTTTCTACATATTAGGGTTCTATCTGCAAAAAAACATTAAGACAAGGAGATCTACACATTTGTGCAATTATTAGTGATTAGTAGGCAAGTTGAAGTGATAACCATAGTAGAAAAAAAACTATGAATATCAAGTTTAAAAATACCAGCCCTTGACCCCAGTACCCCCGACTCCATCCCTAGCTCCGGACTTTCTCCGGGGTATACTCATCCAACTCGGCCTACCAGGCCTGATTCTAGAGCCCATTCCCCAAAGTTGCCACGTCCAAGATCCGGAAGACTAAGACAGAGCCAAAGTGCAAATTATTCTCTTGGTTGTGTGCGTGACGTGGGCCATAGGATCTTTTTTGCCGCATGTGCACAAGACCTCGGAAAGTGCAACCCACCTATGAAAGGATTGTCCCTTCTCCGCAACAGTTGAATGCCTCATCTTGTTTTTGGGACGTCGCCCAGATCCCGGCCGGTTCCTCGAGTGATATCAACGCCGTCGATGATCGATGGGGCGAGCCTAGTGGTCACCCAGGAGTGGCCGACGTGTAATCTAGGACCCTCTTAGCTCGCGAACGTTCGCTGGGAAGGAGTGGCATTTCGAACGATTTCATTGGCAGTTTTAGATGCGAGGGAATGACAACTTCAAAACAATATGACAGTTTCTTCGGAAGAAAGCATTTTCGTTTAAAACCACCACCGTTTAATCTCGCGAATCAACTAAAGCTGACAAGAAAAGGTGTTCGCTTGCCATCCCCTCACAGCTGACGTTCGTCAGATAACATTACCGTAATTCTAACGGGTCATACATAGTTATATTTCTTCTTCTAAACGAAAAAGACAACGTTTCTGTCGGTTTTGGCCAAGGGTCGGCAGTCTTCATCTTTGACAATAGACCCATTTCTTAACCTTATTATAGTTAAAGAGAAGGCAAATTCTTCTTCCTTTACTTCTCTCTCCTTCGACGCACGCTTCTTTTGGCGGCAGTTCCTTCGAACGCACGTCCTTGTTGCAGTGCGAAGCCAGCCAGGCAACGATCCAACAGCCGACCTAGAGAGACAGACACATCACATTACCTGGCCCCGCCGGCAAATCCATCCAGCCGAGCACAACACGCCCCGCATCGGGCGCAACCGGGAACGAACCCACTTTCCATCCCCTTCCCCGTGTCCTATTTGGCGTTCGTTCCGTTTCGTTCTGCTGCCGCGTTCCTCTCTCCCTCCCCAGTCCCCACCCTTTCCTCCCTCCCACCACCAAATTCCCAGGCGATTTGATCCTCCCCCGCGCGGCGCCAATCCGCTAATGCGCTTGGGCCCGCCCCGTCGGCGAGATCGGCGCCGGCGTCCCCGTCCCATTTGCCGCGCCGACCTCACCGCCGGCGAGGCGAGGCGGGGCGGGCCCCCCTTGCTCGGCCGCCGGCGCGCTCGCTCGGCGGCGAGGCGGTCCCGCGCTGATTGAACCCTCAGGTGAGGAACCCTAGCTTGATTTGATTTTCATAGGAGCGGTACGCTTCGTCCTGGTCTGTACTGTTGTCGGTAGGATCTTTTCGGGATTTTTTTGTGTGTGGCTCTGACCAGTCGAATCCAACTGATGAGCTAATTTGATCATTAATTCTTCTTCGGCTCGCAATACCGATCGCCTATGAACATTGTACACAGCGAGATTTTTTTTTCAGTTCGTTTCGACCTCTCTTTGTCTGTTTTGTTGCGGGGATGGTAGAGAGATCACAGATGTTCACCGTGTTTTCTTATTCATGGCAGCTACGCTTTGCTCGAGAAGGAGCGGAGCCAGGGTCTACATTAGGGGAAACCACTGCTTTTGTCTTAAAGAGAAGAGATGAATGAATAGTTCGGTGTTTCAAGATATAGCAATTAGCTCCAGTCCTGCAGTGTTCAAGGACAAGGAGGAGGAGCTTCCAGCAAAACCACCATTGCTCCGTGTTGCTTCAGATGAACAGCCAAGTTGGGCCCAATAACCACAAGAACTTGAATGTGGTCTATCAGGATCTCACCACGATTCTTGGTCTTGGCAGGTTTGACTCCGGCAACCTTACTGCCAGTTTGCCTCTGAAATATGATATGGATCCGGCAAATTTGGTGCGTACGAGGACCATACGCTCTGAGAATGGACTCAAACCAGCTGAGCATTCAAGTGACAATCTACAAGATATGTCGTCTCCCTTCGAAAGCCCACATGCTGGAAAAGTCAAGTTCATGTGTAGCTTTGGTGGGAAAATCCTGCCTAGGCCTAGTGATGGGGTGCTCAGATATGTAGGTGGGGAAACACGTCTCATATCGATACCCAGAAACTTCTCATGGAAGGAACTTGTGCATAAAACCCTCTCGCTCTACAACCAGCCTCATACCATCAAGTATCAGCTTCCTGATGAGGACCTTGATGCTCTGATTTCTCTTTCATGTGAAGAGGATCTTCAGAATATGATGGAAGAATACTACAGTCTTGAAAAGGCCAATGGCTCACCGAGACTTCGGATATTTCTTGTCTCCCCAAATGATTGTGAGGAGACATCGTTAAGTGCAAGAAGTTTAGAAAGTGAGCCAGAATATCATTTTGTTGTTGCTGTGAACAATCTCTCACAACTGGAGCAGAGCACCAGCGGCAACAGTTTGGTGAGCCAGTTGAGCCAACAGTTGGATAGTTCCCTACTCCCCTGCAGAGACTCAACTGCATGTCAAACAGATATAGAAAGTGGAGGTAAAGCTTTGGCTGGAACAGCCTTAAATGAGTCTTCCTCTCAGTTTTTTCTTGCTCCATACTCACAACAAATGGTGGCTGAGTCAGCAGCAACTTCCTCCCCAGGCTTAAATCGACAGAGGATGTCTTTGAATCAGTCTAGGCTGCGGATGTCTGCAGACAAACTAACAACGAATCAAGAACATGAACACAAATATGAAGTTAGCAATGGATCACATTTGAAAGCCATGCTTCCAGACCATCAAGATAAGACTCAAAGCGATGCAGACACAGGTGTTGGAATTGGATCAACCATGCACAATATTCAAATTCAAAGGCAGGCAAAAGATTTGGGTATACCTCGAAACGAGAGTTACGTGAGTTCACATACAAACTATGATAAGTCTACTCCAATGGAAATGCCCTTCTATTCTGAAAAGGTGTGCGTGCATCCGGAAGCTGCTAGTTGGCTATCTGGTATGCATGAATACACTGGTCAAATTCATGGCATGCCGCATGCCTTTTCTGATCCTTTGCTAAATGATCGCACTGAACAACCTGCATCCAATTTGTCTTTAACTTTTGATTCCTACATACCCCCTTCATTTTCCCAGACAATGTGTCAAGCTAATGCGCTGGAGAGAACAATAAGCGGGGCTAGGCCAGATCTTCTATGTGCTAAGCCACCTGAGATTACTCGTATGGATGAACCAAATTACCTTGTTTCTAGTCATACCGACCAGCGGTATGATCAAGGAGTTCCTGGTGGAGCCAGTTTTGAGGCAGCTGTATATTACCAACAAGACAGTTTGTCTAGTAATATGGTGCAAACAGGTCATGATAGTGGTCCTGTTGTTCAACAGAGGAAGATTTATCATCCGGAGAACAGTGCCGGTCCAAGTGTTGCTCCCCAGTGCACTTTTGTTGACACAAGGTTCACTTTGCACCACACACGTGGTGCAAGGTTGTCCTCAGGTGAGTTAGATGCTCTAGAAAGCTCAGGTTTGACGTCAATGCATGCTACTGATAATTCTCATTCACGCTTTCTTCATGGATGCCCTAATGGATCTCAAACAGCGAATTCAGATTGTGGGTCTCATGTAGAGAAAATGAACTCAGGGCGTGTCTCTACAGATTATGGAACAGCTGGCTGTGTGCATGGTAATGATAAAGTTGCTCCTGGACCCCATATACTGTTGCATATTGACCCTTTTGAAGCTTTTGCGCCACAAAGATCAGTGGCAAATGGAGCATCCCCTGTGTATCAAAATGAAAATTTCGACCAGTTATTGGTGCACAGCTCTGGTTTGGCTACCTCTTCGCCTATTGGACTAAGTAATGCTGATCTGACTGGAAACATGTTTGGCAATGGCACCTTCAAGGATGGTCTTAAACAGAGAGATGTTCCTGTTTTTAATCAGCACAATATCATCTGCAGTGATGTAGGAGTAATTGAATTTGATCGTGCAACCATCAATAATGAGGACATGAATCTGAAGGGCAGAATGCATAATAATTTTCAAATGGAGGCACGTGCTATAGTTGAGGATGTGACTGATAATTTGCCTTCTGGCATTCCGTCATCCAGACCAATTCCTCAGGTTGAAATGGCAGCTGAAGAGCAGCACCATGCAATTATTTCATCAGATAAGGATGATGATGCTAAGAGCGATGGGCCAGAGTTAGCTAATGAGGTATAACCTATCCTATATATTTAGCATGCTATTCATGCCTACGGAATGGTTGAGCATATTTTGTTTTTCATTCCAAATGTTAGGACCATGGTGATAAAGCAGCTGCAGATGGCACCATTAGTGATGCTGAGATTGCCGAACTTGAAGCCAGCATGTATGGCTTGCAGGTGCAGTTCTAGCACTCTAAATTTGTTTAGTAATTATAGTTTTCTTTCAGCTAAGATGTCTATTTGTTTCATAAAAAGATCATATCCATAGTGGATTTGTTTATAATAAGCAAGTCATAACAGCATTTGATTGTTCCGACTTTTGTATGGTCAGATCATAAGAAATGCTGACCTCGAGGAGCTACGTGAACTGGGATCTGGCACGTTTGGAACTGTTTACCATGGAAAATGGCGAGGAAGTGATGTTGCTATCAAACGTATCAAGAAAAGCTGTTTTGCTGGGAGATCATCTGAACAAGAGAAACTTGTGAGTAGTCGTATATCCATTTCTCCTTTCTAGTCATTTAGGAAATTCAGCAACAACCAACCATACCTCCAATCCAAAATGTAGGCCCTTCTAGCCTTTCGATTTTATCCAAAATTTAGGTCTTTCTATACTGCACTTCTGCTTATGCTGTTCCTATTCAGCCCCTCGTTAATTTCATCAAAAATTGGCTTTATAACTCTATTTGGAGGAAATAAGAGAAATACGCAGAAATAAATGAACGGCAGCATTTTCATTTTATCAGATCCTTAATTCTTGTGCCCAACTCTTTAAAAGACCTACATTTTGGGTCAGAGGTAGTAGTGCCTAACATAATCTTGCACGTGAAGCATGATTGATTTCCTTGTTGCTGCATGTTTAGGCAGCCTGACTAGTAATCGAAATTTGAAATTGAAACATGGTTGATAGAAGACATTCATATTATCTTTCATTAGATATAAATGCCAACTTGCATTTTTGTACAGACCAAAGACTTCTGGAGGGAGGCGCAAATTCTTTCAAAGCTGCATCATCCAAATGTTGTTGCTTTCTATGGTGTGGTTCCTGATGGAACTGGAGGAACATTAGCAACTGTGGCAGAATTTATGGTGAATGGTTCACTAAGGAATGTTCTTCTAAGGAAGGATAGGTGAGTTTTGTATGTTTCTGTTCAGTGTTTTCCACTCTGCACAATGTTGTTGTTATGTCACTATTTACTAGAGCTCTGCAGATCGCTTGATCTTCGGAAAAAGCTCATCATTGCAATGGATGCTGCATTTGGGATGGAATATCTGCACTCGAAAAGCATAGTCCATTTTGATTTGAAATGCGACAATTTACTCGTTAATTTGAGAGATCCTCAGAGGCCAATCTGCAAGGTAGTTTTAGATCCACGCGAGGTGCTGGGGTGTGTTATCAGATAGCAGCAGCCTTGTCTTCCCTTTAGTTCTGATGTCATGGACCTTTCCATTAGTAATGTGTAATTATTCTCAGGTTGGAGACTTTGGATTATCGAGAATTAAGCGCAACACTTTGGTTTCTGGTGGTGTACGGGGCACCCTTCCGTGGATGGCACCGGAGCTGTTGAACGGTAGCAGCAGCAAAGTGTCTGAGAAGGTAACACCTTTCATCAGACTCCACACCATCGTTTGCATGTGCAACCATCATTTGCCTGATATGTATCTATTGGCACATGTAGGTGGACGTGTTCTCTTTCGGGATAGCACTATGGGAAATCTTGACCGGTGAGGAACCATACGCAAATATGCATTGCGGCGCTATCATAGGTATACTTATAACCATTGTCTTGTTTTTATTACGATTTAATATTGACTAATTGTCGAAGGACAGAATCCTTTGTCAATTCGTGCCCCCAAATCATCTAGTAATAGTCTGATAGCATTGAATCCTCAAAGTAACTTTGCATACTTTGCTTGTGAGAAGGGGGTATTGTCAACAACTCTCTCCGGCCTCCAGTACCTGAAACCTGTGACCCCGAATGGCGAATACTGATGGAGCAATGTTGGTCGGCCAATCCCGATATCCGCCCCTCGTTCACTGAGGTCACAGATAGGTTACGAGCCATGTCAGCGACGCTTCAGTCAAGGGCACAGGCCCCAGGAAGCTGATGAATCTTACATGCCATCAACCAGCAAAAGATTGCCGGCTAATCCCCACGGGCTCCTTTTTGTGCATAGACGAGTATATAGCATACCTGTATTTATGGTCACACTGTATTCTGTTTGATGTATCTATGCTTTTTTTTTTGACTATTTTATAGGGTTTCTGAAGTATGTATGTATCTGAGTTAACATGTAGTGCAGGCTTTTCTAGCCTCGGTCGCGTTTCCAGCAATTTTTTTGTGTGTAGTTTGCGAAGCTTGTGATGGTCTGCCAGACCACTCAAGCTTCTATTTTTGGGCCTTTGGTTGTAAAAGTATGAGCATTGTAATTATATAGCAGATGAACTGGCAAAAAACATACTGCCACTTTTGAACCTTCATAAATTCAGAAATAAAGTCGAGGTTTTTGCTTAACTGATCAAGGGGTAATTGCACTTCTAGGATAGAATCTTGTTGTATAAGTTTAGTTTAGTAACATCAATTCGCATAAGGGAACGGGCCAGTACATAAACTTTGCTAGAGCATTTACAACAATAATAGTTGCCTAATCTGGATAGTTATCATGCCGATCGAGCACGGGGTAATTATTATGACGATCTAGTCAAGTCCCCTCTTCCTCCGCTCACCGGCGAAGGCAAGACCGGGCCGTCCTCCTCAGTGGGCGGCTCCTCCTTGAAAAAGGAGATCGTCATCTCCTCCGGCAACAGGGAGGACCAGCCGCTGCCGCAGGCGCCCGTCCTCTCACTGGACGCGGTGTATGCGGTGATGGACGCCTAGTACGATGAGCTGATGGAGTTGCGCCACTGGAGATGCTTCTTCGCGCCATCAGGGAGTAGCGGCTGTCACCACCTCCCTACCTTGTCAAGTAGGAGCGGTTGTCGCCACCTTCCAAACAGCTCAAGGAGGAGCGGCTCTCGCCACCGCCCCGCCGCGTCAAGGAGGAGCTGTAGCCGCGCCGGTGGCGGCCTGCCCCATGTCATTGTCGCGAAGGCGCGCAAGCACATACTGCACTACCTTGGTGGCTGCCACGAAGGCAGCGCTGGCGGCTCCTCGTCCTCACGGAGCGTAATGACGGTGCAAGAGTACGCGGACAGGGAGCGGCAACAGTGGGGCAAGCACAATGCCATGCGCCGGGCGGAGTTCGCGGACTCCAATGTCCCGCCGCCACAACTCCTCGTGGACCTGGAGCTCGCAATGGTCTGGACCCTCGGCCGGTCGAAGACCACGAAGGAGACAAGCAAGCACTGTCTCTGCCACCTGACGAGGAGATGGCGAAGTACGGTGGCCGCGGCCGCACTGCGCGCAACACAGTAGCAAACGGAGAAGATCATCCTTGAGCACCAGGCGACGGTCAGGAAGCCCTGTCGCGACCCCGCGCCTTACTGCTGCTCGAAGCCCAACAGCGACAACTCCGACGATGGTAACGGTGGTGCCACCGGTTAGCCTGGCAAGGCGTATGAGGTTGCCATAGTATATGGTAGTTTAGGTTTTTTTTAGTTCACCTGACAAAATATCGTCCGGTTTAACGTAAAAATTATTCAAGTTGAATCAAAATCATTCTATTTGTTTAAATTTGCACCAAATCTATTTATTTTTGTTAATTCCATTGAAATGTGACCGAACATTTGCGGCTAGGTTTGGATGGCCAGCTCTCGCAACACGGACAAGTCCTCACTGAACGGATACAGTCCCCGATTTGGGAATCAAGGTTGGAGATGCCCTTAGCATTGTATGTCCAAGTGGAAGTTTAATTTGAAGCCTTCCTACACTAAGAATTGATGGTATACTCGTTATTTGGATCTAAATATTTTCGAAGGTAATCAATTATTCCCTCTGTAAATTAATGTAAAATGTTTATACAGTTGGATTTTGAATTGTACTGTATTACTCCCTCCGTCCCATAATTTTGTTTTCTTTTATTTTTCTGGAAAGGAGGATTACTCCCGGCCTCTGCATCAAGCGATGCATATAGTCATCTTTATTGCATTAAACAAGGTCTTATAAAATAAATACATAAACCAACCCAAAGCCACCGTCCTTTCGAAAATTATCATCCTACCTACAAGATTGATGGTGTACCCTGACCGCAGTGGCGGAGCCAGGTTCACCGAAATGGGTGTACAGAGTTTAACATTTCATGAATTTCCTAACTATTTTCTCATGTATATGTGTTTTATCTACCTAGTATGTGCTTTCTTATCAGAATTAATGGGTGTACATATGTACACCCATGTCCCCTTGTAGCTTCGCCCATGCCTGACTGCGCGCCACACACACCAAGAAATTTGGTGGCCTCACCAAGCTGCCCGTCGGCTAGCCGGGAGCACCAACCGATCTAGCAGCCCATCAGCATGCACCGCATGCGCACGCTGTAGAATCCGTCGCCGCCTTCTTTCGCAGTTTCATCTTCGATCTTGGCAAACCCTTCTATCGTCAACGTCACCACGGCGCCAAACAACGCTTGCCTCATGCGTGCGTCCATCGAAGGGTAACTGATGTAGGGTAGAACCCTAGATGCCCGATCTTTCACGATTGGAGCGGATCCCGTGAAGAACACGAAGAACATGAGGGGAAAACGAGGGGAAACGCGAGGGAAAACACGAGAGGAAATCACTCAAACAACAAAATTCGATTACACATGTGCTAGATCCTCGAAACACAAAGAGAGATACACGATCCAAAGTCAACAAAGGACGATACAAGTAGCAAGTTCTTCCCCGTGAGGAGGTCTTGAATCCGCGAGGGATCTTCCCGTGAGGGGTCTTGAATCCGATGTGGATCTTCTCTGAAGAGGCCACGGTCTCTCGATTGAGAAGAACCACAAGGATGAGCAAAGCTCTATCTCAAATGAGCTACTACTTTGCTAACACTAAAACGTAGGTAGGAGAAGAGTATATATAGTCTAGGGGCGAAAGGGTACACGGACCTCGGCCCAAGTCACTGCGCGCAGGCAGGGCCAGAAGTTCCGGGCGCCGGAAGTTCCGGGCCAGGTTCCGGGGAGGGTCCGGCCTAACAAGGCCGGAAGTTCCGGGGGCCAGAAGGTCTGGGCCAGGTTCCGGGCGGCTTCCAGGCTAACCAGAGAGTTGTCGCGCCCGGGCTTGTCCGGGTCGATGGAGGCCGGAAGTTCCGAGGCGGGCGGAGGTTCCAGGGGCCGGAAGTTCCGGGCCGGACAGAGAGTCGACGCGAGTTCCTTCTTCTTCAGCTCTCGGTTCCGTGGATTGTGCGTTGTACCTGATCACATGCAGTGCCTCTGACTTAGGTAGCAGCCATGTCTCACTCGAATGTAAGGGAAGTTCAAGTAGGAGAGATGTCACCTCAGATTGAATAGCACGTGCTCGAGATCTTGTCATGGGTCCAATTAGAGCTTGAATAGTCAAGGTAGTGACCATGGGGATGACCATGGAATGCTCCACATCATCTCCCTCCCCCCTTGGGAAAGATCGGACCTCGAATCGAAAGCCTCACCATCATGGTAGGGAGAGAGATCCTTGATGTTGAAGACATCGCTCACGTTGTACTTGTCACGTGGGAGATTGATCTTGTATGCATTATTGTTGTAGCGTGCGAGCACCTTGGAGGGTCCGTCGGCTCGAGGTAGAAGCCTAGACTTGCGTTCGTTGGGGAAGCGTTCCTTGCGAAGGTGTAGCCACATGAGGTCTCCAACGTCGAATATCATGGGTTGCTTGTTGATGTTGAGCTTGGTCGCGAGCCGTTATACTTGGCGCTCGATGGTGTGTCTTGTATCTTCATGCATCTTCTTGAGATAGCTCGCTGCTACGTCTTGAGCTTGCGTTGGTTTTCCTTGAAGAGGAAAGGATGATGTAACAATAGTAGCGTAAGTATTTCCCTTAGTTTTTGAGAACCAAGGTATCAATCCAGTAGGAGGCTCCTCAAAAGTCCCACGCACCTACACAAACAAACAAAGAACTCATAACCAACGCAATAAAGGGGTTGTCAATCCCTTCACGTCCACTTGCGAAAGTGAGATCTAATAGAGATAGTATGATAAGATAAATATATTTTTGGTATTTTATAATATATATGCAAAAAGTAAAGATACAAATAAAAGTAGATTGGAAGCAAATATGATAAGAGATAGACCCGGGGGCCATAGGTTTCACTAGTGGCTTCTCTCGAGATAGCATAAGTATTACGGTGGGTGAACAAATTACTGTCGAGCAATTGATAGAAAAGCGAATAATTATGAGATTATCTAGGCATGATCATGTATATAGGCATCACGTCCGCAACAAGTTGACCGACTCCTGCCTGCATCTACTACTATAACTCCGCACATCGATCGACTCCTGCCTGCATCTAGAGTATTAAGTTCATAAGAACAGAGTAACGCCTTAAGCAAGATGACATGATGTAGAGGGATAAACTCATGCAATATGATATAAACCCCATCTTTTTATCCTCGATGGCAACAATACAATACGTGCCTTGCTGCCCCTGCTGTCACTGGGTAAGGACACCGCAAGATTGAACCCAAAGCTAAGCACTTCTCCCATGGTAAGAAAAATCAATCTAGTAGGCCAAACCAAACTGATAATTCAAAGAGACTTGCAAAGATAACTCAATCATACATAAAAGAATTCAGAGAAGATTCAAATATTTCTCATAGATAAACTTGATCATAAACCCACAATTCATCAGATCTCGAAAACACACCGCAAAAAGAGTTTACATCGAATAGATCTCCACAAGAGAGGGGGAGAACATTGCATTGAGATCCAAAAAGGGAGAAGAAGCCATCTAGCTATTAACTATGGACCCAAAGGTCTGTGGTAAACTACTCACAACTCATTAGAGGGGCAAGGATGTTGATGTAGAAGCCCTCCATGGTCGATTCCCCCTCCGACGGAGCGCCAGCGAAGGCTCCAAGATGGGATCTCGCGGATACAGAAGGTTACGACGGTGGAAATTGTGTTTCGGGTGCTCCCTGGATGTTTTCGGGGTACATAGGCATATATAGGAGGAAGAAGTACGTCGGTGGCCGCCCGA